ATTGATCTATATGCCTATTCTTGTGCCAGTACCAGGCAGTTTTGAGAACAGTGGCTTTGTAATACATCTTGATATCTGGTATTGAGATCCCACCTACTTTGGTCTTTTTCAGGATTGCTGCAGCTATTCGGGGTCTTTTTTTATTCCAGATGAATTTTTGGAGAGTTCGTTCTAGATCTCTGAAGTATGCCGTTGGTATTTTAATGGGAAGTGCGTTGAATTTATAGATTGCTTTGGGTAGTATGGACATTTTAATGATGTTGATTCTACCAATCCATGAACACGGTATGTTCTTCCATCTGTTTATGTCTTCCTCTATATCTTTTTTCAACGTCCTGTAGTTTTCTGAGTAGAGGTCTTTTACCTCTTTAGTTAAGTTTATTCCTAGGTAGCTTAATTTTTTTGGTGCGATGGTAAACGGGATTGTTTTTATAATTCTCTTTTCTGAAAGTTCACTATTGGTGTATAGAAATGCCTCAGGATTTCTTGGGGTTAATTTTGTATCCTGCTACATTGCCAAATTCATGTATTAAGTCCAGTAGCTTTTGATGGAAGTCTCTAGGGTTTTGTATGTATAATATCATGTCGTCTGCAAATAAGGACAGTTTTACTTTCCTCTTTTCCAATTTGGGATGCCTTTTATTTCTTCTTCTTGCCGAATTGCAATGCCTACACTTCCAGTACTATGTTGAACAGGAGTGGTGAGAGGGGGCATCCCTGTCTTGTTCCTGTTCTTAGGGGAAATGGTGTTAGTTTTTGTCCATTGAGTATGATGTTGGCTGTGGGCCTGTCATATATGGCTTTTATTATGTTGAGGTATGATCCTATTTCTTTAATTTTCTTTTTCTTTTACAACAAATTAATATTAATCTTGTAATAAGAATTATGTATTTATTTTGGTGAGAAGTTCCTCTTTTGAGATGTAAATTTGTTTGGTTCTTATTATAGTAGAAACAATGAAAAAGAAGCTCTCCCCAACAGTTGAGTCACTCATAAATTGTAAGGTCTTCATATCCATGAGCCAGAGTGAACCAGCTGGGGGAAGACTTATCAAATTTTTTATGTTTCAGGAATCTTCTTGAAAAAAACAGACAAAGAAAAGAAGAGTCCCACCAATGTTTTCTTTTGGAAGTATAGCTAGACCTGTCAAAATGATTTTTTAAAAAGAAGAAAAGGAAAAGAGAAAAGGAGGACAGGAGGGGGCCACAGTCTGAAATAGCAGAAGAGCTTTGTGTCCAGACAGAGGAGAGGGGCACTTTTGGCCTGATGAGCTGTGGTTGGGAGGATCTGCTAGTCATGGAGACTTTAGTTTTAATTGGCATCAATGCCTGAAATGGCATTTATGAAAAGAGCCCTTTAGGTACAATGTAGTAAAAAACTGAACTTTCACTTATTGAATACTCACTGTGTGTAGGACACGGGAGTGGATTCCAGAAGCCGTTCCTTTCTGTGTAGTCACTTGGGAGTCTTGGCCAAGACCCCTTTGTAGCATCTCAGGATTTGGCTCCATGTCCACCTGAACTAGGCAGAATCATGTTTTGTAAACGTCCCCCTTGTGCAGCTCACAAAAAGTGCAAAGACAAGTACTCAAACTCTCCAAAGGAGGTTTGGTCATGACAGAGCACTTTCCGTCATGGTGCCAAATACATGTGTTTTGAGATATAAGCTCAGGGCCTGGCATGTTTAATTTTTGAGTATATTTCTTGAGGACTTTCAGGTGCTATTGTGAAGAGATATGGGATATTCTGGATCCTCGTGCGCCAGGCAAGGAGAAAAAAAGAAGATGGTAAGAAGAACCTTAAAAACACCATTGAATAATAAACATAATTGCTTAGAGGAAAACTTCAAGAAAACAACATAGTCATTTCAATGGGAGTTAGACTAAGAACACTAGTAGAATAGGGTGGTGGCCTTGTTCTGTTTCTTTAACTTAATATTACTCTATAAATGCTTATTATATCACTTCTAATCTTTATATCTTAAAGTTTTTATTTGCTTTTAACACAGTAGCAAATTGATGACTCAATCCTATGGCTGAATATTTAAGTTGTTTTATAATTTGGGATACAATACCTTGAATTTCATGTTTCTTGTTTTTCTCTTGGTGGATTTTCTCCTTAGGAAAAATGCTGTGGAATTCGCGGGTTGCAATTCATAACTATTTACACAGCTATCTGCTAGGGGAGAAGAGGACCCATTCTTCTCTTTATGAGCTCTGGCAGCCAAGAGTGATAGTGAGCCCGTCCAGGTAAAACCCCTGTGCCAGCTTGCTGCAGACAGACACTGCATTCAGCTTCTAGGCAGGAAGTCTCACGAGGCCTGGCTTCAGCTGCTGTGAATGCCACACTGTTTCCTGTGAGGGAGAACCCTCCATAAGACCCCTCCCTACAATGTGTGAAAGAAACACCTAAAATTATGAAATGTTTTAACAGATTGAAAAGCAGATAAAATAATATGACTTCCTTTACCAACGACATGAATTTAACATGGGGTATATAATGAAGAAAGCATGGACGTGAATTTAATACATTTCAAACATTTTTTATAATTTATAATAAGCCATCAGGGAGGCACTCATACCTCAATATGCATTTAGCACATTGGAGATTAAGTCTCTAACAGGTATTGTGTATGGGAACATTTGAGGGCATGTTGACTGTACATTGCTGGGGATAGGATGACTTTGACAGCAAATAAGAGTTGGAACTGTGATTTTTATTTTTCAGCTTTGGTACTGTATAAATATTGAGAATTAAGGATGGGAGATAAAAATCCAGTTTATATATAACTTCTGAGGAACATATCTAGTGTATTAATGATGGTCACCTGTAGAGTCATTAGTCTGCTTCCAAATCTTTCCTCCCTAGGTCTTCACCTGAAAAAATAAATACATTCTCTTTCTTTTTCCTGTGTTTTGTTGTTGTTGTTTTTTACCTTACACCTGCCAGAATGGCTATGATTAATAAATCAACAAATAACAAGTGCTGGTGAGGATGTGGAGAAAAGGGGACCCTAGTGCACTTTAGTGGGAATGCAGATTGGTGCAGCCACTGTGGAAAATAGTATAGGGTTTCGTCAAAAAATAAAAAATGGAACTGCTGTTTGACCCAGTTATCCCACTTCTGGGAAATATATCCTAAGAAACCCGAAACACCAATCAGAAAGAATATATGCACCCCTATGTGCATAGCAGCGTTGTTTATAATAGCTAAGTTCTGGAAACAGCTCAAGTTGCCCTTCAGTAGATGAGTGGATAACAAAATAACTGGTATTTATACAATGGAATACTATGTGGTTGTAAAAAGGAAGGAACAGCATGCATGGACCTGAGATTATTATGCTAAGCAAAATAAGACAGTCAGAGAAAGACAAATACCATATGATCAGTTGTATGTGGAATCTAATGAACAAAATAAACTGACGAACAAAACAGAACCAGAGGCCTGGCTACGTAGTATGGACTGACAGATATCAGAGGGGAGTAGGAAGGGGGTGACTTATACAGGATTTCCCACTTCTATTTCATATATAAACTAGAGGCTCAGTGCACAAAATTTGTGCAGGGGGGCGGGCCCCTCAACCTGGCCAGCACCCTCTCCAATCCGGGACAATGCCCAACAACTAAACTACACCAGCCAGAGCTCCACCCTCTGCTCTTTGGTAATAGGTCCAGCTAGAAAAGTTGCAGGCAGAACTCTACCTATAAGTGTGTCAATCCTAGGTGGAAAGATAAAACCAAAAATAAACAGGACTTTTTAACCATCTGCCATTGCAGGTAGCTAGTTATTAATACAAGGAAGAAAGCAAAAGGGAACTAAATAATATTAATAAACTGGGAAGCAGAAACAGATAACAGAGCAGAATTCCATCTAGTTTACTGGTAAATGGACTCATTCACAGCCAGGAAACTGCCAACTAGGAGACTTAATCCTGGGAATGGGACATGAAATCTCATGGGGGTGGGGGAGTGCTCAAGGCCCAGTACCAGAGGGAGAGGAGGAAATGCCTCCACTGGGTGCATGTGCAGCAGGGGCTAGATGATGTAATGAAACTTTTGGTCATGCAAGCTGAACATCAGGGTGACAAAACAGAGGGGCAGAGCCTAACCTGGGAACAATCGGATTAGGTAGAGGCATGAACCCCGATGGAATTTACCGAGAAGAGGGCCCAATCCAGGCCCAGGAAAAGTTAGGAATTTGGATTGGATAGTTTGAATGGTACTTTGTTCTTTAACTAAACCAAGAAGATATATGGAGGATTAACTAAAGCCTCATGGCAGTGCTTTAGAGCCTGTCTGACCTTTAGGTCCCCGAGGGTGTATTAATTCCCCTTAATTCACGATAACGTATTACCCTCATGTTTAAACTTCTCCACCCATGTGCCTTTGAAGTTCTTTTCTCACATCACGGCAAAAGAACTTACTACTTTCACAGGTAACACATCCATGCTGTCAGGCAGAATCCATGGTGGGTGGTGCACATAGCAGTTGCCAGTAAAAGGACTTTCTTTCTGCCACAGGGCAAAATGACATGGTCGTGGAGTTGGAATCATATGAGTGACCTGCTAAAAACATTAGCCTCGCTGACTCCCCTAGAAAGCACAGGAAAGGTGGTGAGTACAGTGATGTGGCTCAGTTTGAGTTAGGACTCAGTAAACTGCATAAGTAATTGTCAACAGGGCCATGGGGATCTTGACCAATAGTTGTTTTTCCTTACAGCTTTTTAAAAATATTTTTCTTTATTGATTGAAGTATTACATATAGTATTACATGTCTCCTTTTTCCCCCACTGACCTCCCCCATCCACCCCCACCCCCCGGCACATGCCCTCAGTCCCCCCTAGTGTCTGTGTGTATTGGTTATGCTTATATGCATGCATAAAAGTCCTTTGGTTGACCTCTTCTCCCCCTTACCAGCCCCCCGCCCGCCCACCACCTTCCCACTGAAGTTTGTCAGTCTGTCTGATGCTTTCTTACAGCTTACTCATGAGCTCATGCCCAATTTAGCAAGTTCTCCATCTAACAGTTGCAGGATGCTCAGCTGTAGCATTTTGGTATGGGCTGCAGGTGACTAGAGAGCACTGTGCCTCCAGTGCACAGAGGTAGGTAGCTGAGTCGTCCATCTGGGTGGCTGTGATATGCAGGGTGCTGAGACGTTCTGTCTTGTCTATGGTGCCTTTTATTTTTCCTGAATCAAAATCACTTGTAATTAGCCTACACAGAAATATGGTAGCTTTCTCTTTCTGTTTATACCAATATAGGCCTTGGAAGCTAGCCACTTCGTAACGGCAGTGGAGAGTTGCATTGTCTCCCTCGTGGACTTCCAGGGATGGGGGGCTCTGTAGTACCTTGTCATCACTGTACACCCCTGTTCAGAAAAAAGCAACAAATGAAAGTTAGCCAGAGAGGGTGATGTCAGGGCAAGTCTTCTCAGAGATCATAATTACTCTTCATTAAAACCATAGGTGTCCCCAGATAAGTCAAAACAAGCTCCACTTTTCTCTATTAATTTTCTGAGGATCAATCCTCAGTTTTCCTGGTTGTCTCTGACCCTTGCTAGTAGGGCTACTCACAGCTCAGTTGAAGCCATAAGATGGCCAGTGAAGCTTGTGGCCACTTCTCCATCCTTCAGCCCAGGGTTTGTTTTTTGGAGCAAAATGTGATTCACTGCCCTGAGCTTTTCCTTTTCCTTTTTGAACTGGCATGCTCTTCTTTCTTCAGCAGGTGTGTGAGCGCATGCGTGTGCATGAACACACACACACACACACACACACACACACACACACACACACACACACAGAAAGGGAAATAGCAATTTGGCTATTCCGCCAACAGAAAAACAGATGTCATTGGGTTTTACCTCAAACTCAAACCCCTCCCACCCAGTCACTCAGGGGAGTCATTTGAAAGAGAGCACTGCCATCTTGTGAGTGAGGGGTAGAAAAACTGAAAATTTGGGCCCACACATTTTATCAATGATGATATATTCTTCCAAAATTGTTTTACCCTTGAAGGACAGGCTGCCCAATGCTTCCCATAGCTCTGACAATGCTCCTGTGGCTTGGGGAGGGCAGATAGGAACAGTACACCGGGAAGTCTGTAGTTCAAGCCAGGACCCCCCCTGTGAGGGGAAAGGCTGAAGCACTGAGGAGAGGTGGCCTGGAGGAAAAGCTGGGGAGAGAGCAAAGGGTCTTTCCAAAGCTCTTTTGAAGGTTAGCTATTGATCTCATAATTTTGGAACATCCTATATAATAAAACCCTAATATACAAATAGACCAAATGGCGGAACAACCAGTCACTATGACGTGCACTGACCACCAGGGGACAAATGCTCAATGCAAGAGCTGCCCCCCGGTGGTCAGTGCGCTCCCACAGGGGGAGCGCTGCTCAGCCAGAAGCCACACTAAGTACCCTAAGTCGGCTGGTGGACATCCCCCCGGAGAGGTCCCAGACTGCGAGAGGGTGCAGGCCAGGCTGAGGGACCCTTCCCCAGTGCACAAATGTTGTACACTAGACCTCTAGTATATTTAGAAAGCAGTATTACTGATAAACAGTGGGGTATCTGCTAATTCACAGGGTATATTTGGATGAAATGCAGATGCTGAAAAGTTTTCTTCCCCATTTCATCATGACTTGGTCAAAACAAAAAGCAAGATATCACCCCAATAACCTTATTTCTAAGTCCACTGAGACCCTCCCCTCCCACTTAATAAATCTGATTATTGTTTTCCATCTAGGGATCCATTGCTTATTCCATTCACTCGTTCTATAGATGTCTATTTTCATTAAATTCTTGAACTAAAGCCGAAACCGGTTTGGCTCAGTGGATAGAGCGTCGGCCTGTGGACTGAAGGGTCCCAGGTTCGATTCCCGTCAAGGGCATGTACCTTGATTGCAGGCATATCCCCAGTGGGAGATGTGCAGGAGGCAGCTGATCGATGTTTCTCTCTCATCGATGTTTCTAACTCTCTACCCCTCTCCCTTCCTCTCTGTAAAAAATCAATAAAATATATTTTAAAAAAAAAATTCTTGAACTAAATTTGTGTTCTTTCCAGACTGTGATAACTCAGCTTGGAAACACATTTTGCACTATACATTACTAAATGTACTCATGCACATGTTTTGAGATAAGTTTCCTACATTAAATTGTGGTGTGAGTTTCTCTTCTTTTTAAGCTAAAGGAAATTGAATTCTACTTATTTGTTTCAAAAAACTTTTTTCTGATTATAAAAGAAATACATTGAAATTGCAGAACATTTGGAAAATACAGAGAATAAAAATCACCCACAATCCTAATCCCTATGTCTGACATGCCACCAGCCAGAACTCTTTTTTCTTTTTATTAATAAAATCTATATAATAAAAGCCTAAGTGACACTTATGGCAGAACGACCAGAATGACTGGTCACTATGATGCACACTGACCACCAGGGGGAAGATGCTCAATGCAGGGGCTGCCCCCTGGTGGTCAGTGTGCTCCCATAGGAGGAGCGCTGCTCAGCCAGAAGCTGGGCTCACAGCTGGTGAGAGCAGCGGTGGTGGCGGGAGCCTCTCCTGCTTCTGGGGCAGCACTAAGGAGCAGTGAGCAGGCAGGCAGTAAGGAGCAAGGGGTCCCAGACTGTGAGAGGGCGTAGGCCAGGCTGAGGAACTCCCTCCCCCAGTGCACGCATTTTGTGCACCAGGCCTCTTGTATGTCATATATTTGTTCAAAAATAATTTTTTTTCTCATTTTCTAGGAAATTTTTTTTCTAAAATATGGCAAACTGTAGCAGTGGTGAGAAGGATGGCTCATAAGACTTTAATGTACTCAATTCTGATGTCCACCTGTCTGCTCTTCTAGGTATATAGTTGCTAGAGAAACTCCTAACCATCCCAAGTGCCCAAGATATCATCTGGCCTTGAGTTTCCTGAAGGCACAGCAAGGTGATATATTCCAGCTGGGCTGAGAGCTGCAGGGCTCTTGCTGCAGAGTAGTAACTTACATGGAGTCTGAACATTGATCTGGAACATGCTTCATGGGCAGTCAACTTTCTGGAGACTCACCTGGAGAGAGGTCTGGAGAATGGTGAAGGCCATGATCTAAGTTGGCTCTTGGGCACTTAAACTGTGTCCTTAGCAGCTGCCCCTCTGACCACTTGCCCATTCTTAATCCCATTCTTGCATCAAGGGCTTTGGCATTGCATATCCCTCTCTCTTCTGACACCTCAGCATCCCTTGCATTCTCTTAAATATCCTCTTTATCGTCCTAACTGGTTTGGCTCAATGGATAGAGCATTGGCCTGCAGACTTAAGGGTCCCAGGTTCGGTTCTGGTCAAGGGCATGTAACTTGGTTGCGGGTACATCCTCAGTAGGGGGTGTGCAGGAGGCAGCTGATTCATGCTTCTCTCTCATCAATGTTTCTAACTCTCTATTCCTCTCCCTTCCTCTCTGTAAAAAATCAATAAAATATATTTTTAAAAAAATCCTCTTCATCCCTTCACATCAAAGCCTCATTATCTTCTTTTTTATTTATTTGTTTCTCCTAGAAGAGCCCCTGTGCTCCATTCAACTGGGAACTTTTTGCTTTAGCAATAGGAATATGGACTCTATTTTCTTTAGTTCTGGTGAAAATGAGCTATTTGCAGTCCCTATAGTACAAGATTACCTCCTGCCATGACCCCACCCACAATTAAATTGTGATATAGGTCTCTCTTCTTTTGAAGCTAAAGGAAGTAGAATTCTACTTATTTTGCTCTCATTCAATGTGAATGAGAGCTCAAAGATAAAACAGGTTTTCAGGTCAAGGGTAAATGGATGTTCATATTTAGTTATGCATGTTAAAGAAATCTTCATTCTTAAAGAAAATGAAATTTTATTTTATATTATATTGCTCTGTGACTCTTTTCACTTGCACCATCTATCTTAAATATATTTCTGCATCATTACATACAGATCTACCTCGTTTTTCTTTAATGGCTGAATAGTATTCTGTAGTATATATGTACAATTATTTAATCACTAGAGGCCTGGTGCACGAAATTCGTGCATGGGCAGGGACCCTAGGCCTGGTCAGTGATCAGGGCCAAACTGTGGGGTGACCAGCAGGGAGATTGGGGGGAGACCCCACTGGCACCCACCTTGGCTGGCCTGGGGCCTGCAGGCTGGGGGAAGCTCCTGAATTGAGTGTCTGCCCCCTGGTGGTCAGTACACATCATAGCGACTGGTTGTTCCACTAGTTGTTCCACTGTTCGGTCAATTTGCATGTTAGACTTTTATTATATAGGATTTGCTGATTGCTTAATACTCACTTTCTAGTGTCTCTGCTCAGTAGCATGTTTATTGTGAGGTTTTAGTTTATAATTTTTATTAGATTTAGGAATCTTCCTTCTATTCTTTCTTTTGTGTATATAAATGTTGACTATAAGGTTGGACTCTTAGCACAACATTACAGTTTAGTTTGGGGTTCTATTAATTTTTATATCTCTCTGGATACTTAGCTAGATGGGCTATATAATTAATTTCCATTCTTTAGCCAGCTGCATCCTATAAATTCTTAAATTTCAGGCTTCATTACAAAAAACAATTCTGACGTAACATAGCAGAATAAGTTCATAAGAGCCCCTAAAAAACTCTCATTTATATTCCATCTACTAATTGCATTGGAATGTTTATCAGGAGGGCATTTTCAATCACCCTAACTCAGGTGTCAATCAAAAGGAGTCAAGGAATGAACTATACTCACCTGCTCTTACTTCTGAATGGATGACTACTTAAATCTATTGAAATGTATTTTTTTTTATTTGTGACTTGCCTTTTCACTCTCTTTAAATATGTACCTTGATTAAGCTTCTTGCTTAGTAGTTTGTATTTCTTGTTTGAGAATTTCTGCCTACTTCAATGGTATGTATACTATTCCTGCATTATGTTCTAAAATTTTAGAATTTTACTTTTTATATTTACACTAGTAGCCCCGTGCACAAAAATTTGTGCACTCGGGGGTGAGGGTGAGGGGTGGGGCCAGACCCCTCAGCCCGACCTGCACCCTCTGTCATGTTCCTGGACCCCAGCCACTCCTGGCCTAGGCACAGGCCTACAGGCTTGGGGTGGCCTGGCTCCCGAGGCCCCATTTTATAAAGAGAACAAAGTCGGCGTTAGTTACAGCCCTCACAGAACCCAGTACACTGCATCTGTGCATACAACTGCCTCGTTCATGTGCTTGCTTCACCCTACTGAATTACTAACATCTTGAGGACATAGATCTGTCTTATCCTGCTTCACCTTCAGTGCCTGGCCTGGTGCCAGGGACCTGAGAGGTTTGCTGAGTGAGTGAATAATGAGTGAGTGAATGAGTGAATGAATGAGCGAGTAAGTGAATGAGCAAGCAGCTAAGGGGCAGGAACTTCTGCTGCGTTGCCATGGCAACACGGCAGAAGCTACAGCCCTACTCCTGGCTGCCTGAAGCCCACGCAGGAAAGTTCCTGCCCTGCTCCCAGAGGCCTGGCGCCCCTCTCCTGGCTGCATACTGAATTACTAACATCTTGAGGTCATAGCTCTGTCTTATCTACCCCAGGAAGTTCCTGCCCTGCTCCCAGAGGCCTGGCGCCCCTCTCCTGGCTGCATACTGAATTACTAACATCTTGAGGTCATAGCTCTGTCTTATCCTGCTTCACCTTTAGTGCCTGCTCTGGTGCCAGGGACCTGAGAG